CGTCCGTCCGTGCCAAATGGACGGAGATGCCGGACGGCCCGAGGGAGCAGCTTTCGTCCCCAGGAGCTGGCCCGACTTGGATAAGGACTGGGGCAGAAACGCCACGGAGGTGTGTTCCGGTTAAGCAAGGTATTAAAAAACAGGGTATTGTCTGGGACGTTTTATACGGAGCTTTCAAAATAGGGATACCACACAAAAACAATGACAGAATAAAACCAACTAAAATCAACAATGTGGCAAGGGCCTGAAAAGCACATTTTAAAAATTCACTTGATGCCCCAAAGAGTACAATGCCAGGTAGCCTCTTGGAGTAGTGGGGTGGGGGGAGGACAGCCTTGCAAGTTGATGCTGGCCTGCTCTGTCTGAATGGACTTTATTTCGTTCGCAGAAAATACTTTGCCTTGTGCTAGACAGGCTGAACAAGCACAGTGCACGTGATGCCTGTGCTGTTTTTCAACTGAGGAATCATTATTTGTTTCTCACGCTGGATCCTGAGTCCTGAATGGGGTCCAGCACAGGACAAGTGGTATCTGGGGGCCCCGTAACGACACTCCTTTGTTTGTAGGTGAAGTGCATCATTCTCCAGGTTCTCCATGGTCTCCAGTACCTGCACAACAACTTCATCATCCACAGGTGAGAAGGGCAGGGATGGATCAAGCCACAACAGGGAGGGGAGCATCTGCTCGCGAACGCCCAGCTCCCCAACCTTCCACAAACCTGTGTTTATCGACTGGCAGGGACCTCAAGGTGTCCAATTTGCTCATGACTGACAAAGGTTGCGTGAAGACAGGTGAGTCTCGGGCAACCGCATCTCAGATGCCACGCACTCCACGCAGCTGCCAGAGATAAAGAGTGGTGGTCGCTTGACCTCCCTGCGTCATCTTCTCTTGCAGCGGATTTTGGGCTGGCTCGTGCTTACAGGGTTCCCCTGAAGCCCATGACGCCAAAAGTGGTGACGCTGTGGTGAGTCGGCTCCGATCGATCCCGCTGCAGAGGCACTTAGGGCATTGCGAAAGGAGAGGAGGCCCTTGGCACCCGCCCTCGACTGCCCCTGTGAATGAAGGACTGTGGAAACTGCCTGGAGGAGTTACAGACGCAGAGGCCCAGGAACGATGCCCCTTGAAACGCGCGCAATGCCAGAAGCGCTGGGGCACCGGAGTCTCTCTCTCCGGACTTCCAAGGGCCTCCAGTAGCAGAATTATGGTGGTGTGAGGCTGCTCGATTGCAGACACAGTCCCTTTCCATGTAGAGCGCTGCCGGCCTCCCTCGGAGTAGAAAAGGGCTGGGCGCGGGCTGGGCCCAAGACTGCTCCCGCCCTGGAGTGCCTTCCCTCTTTTCTCCCCCTTGCAGGTACCGGGCCCCTGAGCTCCTCCTGGGCACAACCACCCAGACCACGGCCATAGACATGTGGTGAGAGAAGAAGATCCCCAGGCTCCCTAAGCGTTGGGCTCTGCCTGAGGGGGGAGGCGGGCGAAAGGCCTTTCTGCAGGGTGGCACTGCCACAGCCTGAAGGAGTGAAGCTGCATTTGCCAGGGGGAGTGCCAGAAGGTGGTCTCCACGCTGACCCCGAGTCTGCCCTGCAGGGCAGTGGGCTGCATCTTGGCGGAGTTGCTGGCCCATAAGCCTCTGCTGCCTGGGAGCTCCGAGATACAACAGGTCGACTTGATCGTGCAGTTGCTGGGCACTCCGAATGAGACCATTTGGCCCGTGAGTACTTTCTGCCCACGCTGTCCTGCTGCTCTTCATTTCTTGGTGTGCCTCCTTGGCTCCGGGGTTCGCTTGATGAAAACCACAATTCATGCAACACACTGTGTTTGGCTTTGGCTGGCTGGGGAATTCTGGGAGCTGAAGCCCACATAGCTTGAAGTCGCCAAGGTTGAGAAACACTGATCTAGGTGATGCCTTTAGGTGAACCCAGCCGCAGGCAAAAGGCGAAGATTTGGTTCAGTGTCTCGCCCCCCTTTTCCAGGGCTTCTCCAAGCTGCCCCTGGTGAGCCAGTACACTCTCCGTAAGCAGCCCTACAACAACCTGAAGCACAAGTTTGCGTGGCTGTCGGAGGCCGGGCTTCGCCTCCTCAACTTGCTCTTCATGTACGATCCGAAGAAAAGGTAACTGGCCTCACGTGCCCCTCAACGCGGCCGGCCAGTTGGGTGCCCCTTTGGGGGGCGAAGATTCCGCTTTCTCCCTCCCAGCCCAGATGGTTGAGCCAAGGAGCAGCGAGGGCAAAGCACCCCAAGGCTGCAGCTGCGAAGCTCCCCTTGAGCCACCCCCCGCTGTCCCACGAGGAAGCCATTCCTCCTCAGCTGTCTCAGAACAGGGTGCTCCTCTCAGGTCTTCTGGGGAGGGGACAGCAGAGAGGCTCCAGGACAGGCTTCGTAATGGGGGGGCGGGGGCGGGAGAAGGAACTGGCCCTTCACTGCTGTGTCTCCTCCCCAGAGCAACAGCGGGAGACTGCTTGGGAAGCTCCTACTTCAAGGAAAAGCCGTGGCGTAAGTCGCTCCCGGGGCTCCCTTTTGGCAGGGCGGGGCTGCCCCCTTCTCCAGGGCCCCGACCCCTTTTCTTTCCTTCCTTCCTTCCAGCCTGTGAGCCGGAGCTCATGCCAACCTTCCCGCATCATCGCAACAAGAGGGCGGCCCCCAGCACAGGCACGGAGTGCCCAGGCAAACGTAGCCGGCCCTGACCTGGCAGCTTCCAAAGGCACCGGAAAGGTACGCGGGGGGCCCTCCTGAAAGGCAGGGGCACTCAGCAGACGGGGGTCAGGTTTTCACGTTTGTGATTTGTGTGCGTTTGTGCCAATGCAAGAACCATTTGGCAGAGTAGTTTCTGTTAAGAAAACTTAGACAAAAAGGACATTTTGGTCGGCTGTTCTGTCGATTAAATCCACAAATGCATTTGGCATTTTCTTAGAGGGCCCGTTTTGCTTCCTCCCCTTTCAAGAGACCAAAAGAACTGGGAACGTCTCTTTGAAGAAGGGGGGGCTGTACACCCCTGCCCATAATCCTCCCTTTTCCTGTTACTGCCGGGTTTGACCCCTGCCAGTTTTGTGAAGAGCGTTTCTCCTGCACCCCAGGAGCCAGAGGTGGACCAGCAATACAGGCCGCACCAGGAGGGAAATGGCTACCAGTCCAGGGCCTTGATGTTCTTAACTAGGGATGGGGACTTGCAACGTCTCCTCCACGCCAGGGGATCTGCACTCCCTCCGCACTGCCGCCTCCTTGCCCAGAGGCTGCCTCTCAGCCTGAGGCTTCCAGGAGCAGCGACCCGCTTTGCTCAGGTGTTTGGGGCAGGGAGCCAGGCTCTGCTGCCAGTCTGAGCTTCTCCTCTCTCCTCAGCTCTGCCCAGAACAAGCAGAAGCTCTGGATGCCGGAAGAATAAGCAAAGCGCCCCCACCAGAGCCGCGAAGGAGGGAGTGAACCTCCCGAAGAGCCTTCGGACCTGCTGCAAACCAGGGACTGGCTGGGACCTTGGAGCAAAGGCGCCTTGTCCTCGGAGCGCTGGGGCTCAGCTGCTGCTTGCCCCCAGCTCTGCTCTCCGGCACGAGGAAGGCGGCAAGTGCAAGCAGCCCCCCGTGGCTCCCTCTTTCTGCAGACAGCCTTTGAGGGGGAGGGGGGACGGCTTTCAATAAAGACTTTTCTCTAGCCCAAGGATTGCTGGGTGCCTTA